TGGATTTCCATTCATTCATTGTTGCACTTTTCTCCCTGCTCAACCCCCCCCCCCAAACCCGTTCGCTCTTCTCTTTGAAAAGTAAAAGAAAAATTCTATCATTGTTATACAATACCTCCCCTCACGTCCACTCCAATATGCAGCCTTTGTTTTGAAAAGTAAAAGAAAAATTCTTTCATTGTTATACAATCCCTGCCCCCAAGTCCACTCCACTATGCAGCCTTCATTCTGGACCACTGTCGTGACAATAATACCTAATTACATATTCTTTTTAAACAGTTTTCTCCTTCATCTGTTTCAATGCAGTATTCCCCCGAACCCCGATGTCAGTCCCGTTTTACAACAGTGGCACTATGCAGTATTTGTCCTTTTGTGACTGAGATACTTCACTCAGCATAATGTCCTCCAGGGTCACCCATTTTGTATAATATTTCATGAGTTCCTGTTTTTCAATGCAACACAGTATTCCATTGTGTGAATGTACCACAGCTTCTCTATCCATTCATTTGTTGATTGGCACTTAGGTTGTTTCCACCTCTTTGTTATTGTGAACAAAGCTTCAATAAACATGGATGTGCATATATCTGCTTGGGTGGTGATTATGGTTTCTTTGGAGTATATTCCCAAGTAGTGGAATTGTTGGGTCAAATGGTATCTCTATTTGCAACTTTTTGAGAAAGCTCCATACTGCCTGTCTTCCATAGTGGTTGCACCATTTTACACTTCTACCAACTGTGAATAAGGGTTCCAGTTTCTCCTCAAGCTTGCCAGAATTTGTTCTTTGCTGTTCTGTTAAATTTTTCTATTCTTACTGGGGTGTTTTCATTTGCATCCCTCTTAGAGCTAGGGATTTTGAACATTTTTTCATGTGCTTGTTGGCCATCTGAATGTTTTCTTTGGTAAAGTGTCTGTTCATATCCTGTGCCCATTTTTCAATTGGATTGTTTACATTTATCTTGTTGTGGTGCTTGAGTATTTTATAAATTCTAGATATAAGTCCTTTATCTGACCTGTCATTACCAAATACTTTTTCCCAGTCTGTGGCTTCCCTTTTTACCCTGTTGTTGGAGAAGTTTTTGGATGTGCATAGGAATTTGATTCTTAGAAGGTCCCATTCATCTATCTTATCCTCTACTGGTTGTATATTTTTCAGGATGCTTGGAAGACTGTTTATGTTGTGGGTTAGGACTTCTACAGTTCTTTCAAGCTTTCCTTTAATGAAGTCCTTGGTTTAATATATGAAATCCTTCTTTAATATAGTCCTTGGTTTTACTCCTAGGTGCATGTTCCACCTTGACTTGGTTTTTGTGTATGGCATGATGTGTGAATCTTGCTTGAGTTCTCTGCACATAATTTTCCAATTTTGCCAACACCATTTGTTAAAAAAGGCTTTTGTTTCCCCACTTAACTGATTTCATCTCCTTGTCAAAGATCAGTTGACCATAGATAGATGGGTTGATCTCTGGATTCTCAATTCTATTCCATTGATCTGTGTGTCTGTCATTGTACCAGTACCATGCTGTCTTAACCAACATGGCAGTGTAGTAGGATTTGAAATCAGTGAGTGAGATACTTCCTACCTTGTTTCTCTTTTTAAGGAGTACTTTGCTTATTCGGGGCTTCTTTCCATTCCAAATGAAACTGGAGAATGCCTTTTCCATCTCGTTGAAGAATGGGATTGATATTTGTATTGGGATTGCATTGAACTTGTAAATTGCCTTTGGTAGTATTGTCAGGAGAATATTTTTCGAGGAGTAGTTTTGGGGAATAAAAAACAACAATAGCCAAAGAAAGTGGTATTGGAAAACTACCAACTACAAACAAGAATTTCTCTGTGTTTCTCAGCTTTAATTCTTTTTTTATTAAATTTTATTAATTTTAATGAACATTTACAGAGATTTTGGGTTTCCATTCATTCATTGTTGCACTATTTTCTCTACCCTCTCCCCACCCAATTAGTTCCTCTTTTTTCCCCCCTTGGAAGTCTGTTTTAATTGTCCCATTGCCACAGTGCTTGTCAAAGCCAGTTCTGATTA